TCTGACATGCTCAACTGTAGGAAGTACCGGCGTTAATCTAGCAATGGCAAACAGTGAAATAGAGATAATGGGTCTCGAAGTATCAGTAGGATTCTGTAACAGAAAAGGCCTTGAGTTTAGTAAGAGTTTAAAAAAAATACAATTCGGAATGGCAGTTCCTGTAATAAGGAAACAACTCCCCTCTTCCCAATTCCAATGGCAAATAAAAAGTATTCTTGTAGTCTTTATTTTGCCCTTATTCCTCTGGATTTTATCTCGACTCTTGCTCTTCACTCCAAAAAAATGGAAAATTCACTACATGTTTCAAATAACTCTGGGAAATGTCCTACCGGAAGAACCACAGGTACAAGTGGAGAGAATAATTTTCCTTGCAGCTCTTATTGGCTGCTTCATGTTTTCCTCGGAAATCTACACTGCTATCAATCAAGTCCAACTGGAAAAGAAAACTTCCTACAAATTCGAAACATTAGAGGATGTTCTCTCCTCGAATGTCCAGATAATGGTGAAAAAGAACTACTATATTCAAATGAACAACACCGACGATATCGTTTTGCAGAAAATTTTGAAGAAAGTCGACTGGATGATTTTCCAACAAGAAGAATGCGTGGATCGTGTAATAAAATACAAAAACTTGACTTGTATTCTAGAAGTTCCAAGAGCGGAATTACAACTTCGGAGTAGACGAAACAAATGTGGAGGGCCGCTCGTAAAATTTCTTAACGACAAATTTCCATCCGATTCAGGAGCCACTGCGCTTGGTGCCGGTGTTCCTTATGCCAAACGCTTCGATCAAGTGCTTCAGAGAGTTATTGATTCTGGTATCAAGGAAAAATGGCTAGAACCATATTCTGCAAAGAAGACGACTATTACTCAAGTCAGTAAATCTTGCACGTCTTCTGCACCAACGGAAGATGAGCCCGAGTCTGTCATGTCCGTACGTCAAATCGTTCTTATTCTATTCACAGGATTCGTCTCATCGTCTGTAATATTCATTATCGAATTACTAATATATCACATCTTGAAAAAGAAAATATAAAATGCTAATTTTTTCCTAAAAATAAAATTCTAAATTACAATGTATCATATTTTTAAATTTTTCCCTTTTCATCCATAAAACAGAATTCAATTTTTTCGATACATTTTTTAGCTATCAGCAGAATGATCTTTTTTTTGGAATAATATTATACGAAAGATGTGATAATTTCCATTTAAATATTCGAAAACAAAATTTAACTAAGCCCTTAATATCCCTTAATAATATTGAAGAACATTTTTCCGAATCCATTTGTCCCAATCGCTAAAATTGTCAAGCTATTATTTTCCCAAAGTATACTTTAAGTTTAGTTTACTTTGAAAAAATTATCAGTATTTATTAAGAATGAATTATTTTATTATTATAAATTGGTAGAAACAATTATTAATAAGAAATATTAAATAAAATATAATTTTAAAGTTTACCTGGAAAATAACCTATTTTTGCAAATTTCATTCACTAAATATGAGAAAGAGAAATCATTAAATTGAATAAAACCTTATGAAACTCGCACTTGTCCAATTTTTTTTATTTTTAATTAAGAAATTAAAGTCAGAAAACAATCTCTCATTTATTCTCTTAAAATTTCACTCTCTTCCTTAAAATATTTAATGCCACGTGTTTAAACTAAAAAAATTAAAAAAAATTTTTTTTTTTTGAAAAAAAAATTAAAAAAATTTTTTTTTTGATTTTTTTTCAAAAAGTTTCTTAAATAAATTTTTTGTCGCAAGACTGTAATAATACACTAGGATACTAATTTATAGCTCATTAGGTCAAATAATGTAAAAGTTAGGAAAAAAAAATTTCTTTTTTTTAATTTTTTAGTTTTTCCTTGACAACGCTATGGCCATCATTACATATCAAGTTGTCTATATTTTTCCTGTAATATTCGAGTAAAAATACACCAGCATGCAAAATTTCAGCTCTCCATGTCGAATAGTTTAGAAGTTAAGGGGGGGGGGGAATGGTCACTTTTTATGCATTTTTGGCCAAAAATCTTGTTATTTCCTTGACAACGCTATGCCCATCACGTCCAATCACATTCGCTATATTTTTCCTGTAATCTACGTGTGAAAATACGTATCTGTACCAAATTTGAGCTCTTTAGGTCAAATAGTTTAGCCGCTAGGGGGGGGACACGATTTGGCTACGGACACAAGAGTCTCACCAATAGGGTTCCGCCGATACACCGTAGGTGTACGGAACCCTAAAAATAAGCAATTAAAAGTGGCACTTTTGCTTATTTTCACGATTTTCAAATGTAAATAACTTCTGCCCAGAAAAATGAAAAATTACGAAAATTGGGCAATAATTAATTCATCACTAGATACACTTTTCACTATTTCTATCAGGTTAATACATGTGATTTCTTTGAAACTGAAGTTGGTTCAAAACCTATGTATTAACCTGATAGAAATAGTGAAAAGTTAAAAGTTAATTAATTCGGAAAATAGCTTCGGGACCAAAGAAAATCTTTTTCCAGTGAGTGTATCTAGTGATGAATTAATTATTGCCCTATTTTCGTAATTTTTCATTTTTCTGGGCAGAAGTTATTTACATTTGAAAATCGTGAAAATAAGCAAAGTGCCACTTTTAATTGCTTATCTTTTAATATTTGTGAAGAAAACAGGAAGAAAGTGATAAAAACTAAAAGTTAATCACAGGTACTTTATATTTATTCAATTTATTCAATTTAATGATTTCTCTTTCTCATATTTAGTGAATGAAATTTGCAAAAACAGGTTATTTTCCAGGTAAACTTTAAAATTATTTTTTATTTAATATTTCTTATTAATAATTGTTTCTACCAATTTATAATAATAAAATAATTTATTCTTAATAAATTCTAATAATTTTTTTTACGTTTTTATAGTAAATTATATGTTTTTTAAATATTTTCTAGTAGATGAAAATGTGACAGTTTTTACTACTTCATATACTTTAGATGCTTATTTTACAACAAATATAAAAAATATTTTTAAAAAATTTTTTGTTCGGTGATCCTAATATCTTTAAAATCATTCCTGCAAAATATTACAATTTTTCAAAATTAGTCGGCAACGACTTTAGTCGAAATATAATGGAATGACTTAGTTCGAATGTCGAAAATTCGACATTCGAGTTAGCTTAGTTCGAATGTCGAATATTCGACATTTCGGCGCCCTAAAACCGAACAAAACTCGGTTCGGTTTGAATTTTGCACAGCTCTAATAAAAATACTTTAATTCTTGCAAAGAATTTTATAAAAATTTTGAAATAATTGATTTTTTCAACTAATTTTATACAAATTCTAATTGAAATAATTGAATTCTTGAGAAATTTTTATTATTTATGAAAATATGTAATTGAATTCTTGCAAACGATTTTTTTTAGAATTTTTAAAAATAATTGAATTTTTAAGAAGAAATTTATTACCTTATTAAAAATAATTGAATTCTTGTGATGAATATTGTTATTTATGAAGATAATTGCATTTTGCTAAAAATTGAGCACCTGGATCGTAGAAGGGCAAGTAAATTTTTCTCGGCCGAAATCGAAATCCCCTGGACACTCAAAATTCAACTTCCATTGAATTAATTTTTTTCTTTATTAATGTAAAAAACTTAAAATACAATCTTCTCGGCTCTCGTTTAACGGGCGAATTTTAAGTAACAAAAAACTTTCAGTGAGAAAGTTGTTCATTATGGACCAAAGAAGTTTTCTGGAAAATCACAGGGTTAATAATTAATTAGTGTTGAAATGGTGAATGTTTAAAGTTGATACCGTCTTTCGAAAATTATTATTTATAGAAATAATTGTATTATTGGGAAGAATTTTATTAAAATCTAAAAGAATAATTAAATTATTTTTAAAAAAATAATTAGGTACTATTCTATTCAAAAGAAATGATTTGTTTAAAACAATTTTATTTAAGTATTTGAAAATAATTGAATTCCTGTGAAAAATTCTAATATTCAGGTAAACCCGAAATAACCGAAAATAACAGAGTCTGAACACTGTTTAACTTTTGTTCTCATTAACCGTAAGTTTAATTTTTCTCTATCACATTGAAGTTCCGATACTTGCGCTTTTAAACACTCATTCACTTCAGAGATTTCCATCACCTTACTACCCAGTTCCTTCGTTTGTTGAGCAATATCGTTAAGCTTTAAAGAATTATCATTCATTTTCTTCTGCAATTCAGGAAGGCAGCCAACCTTAAATTTAATCTCAGAAAGATCAGCATTTAGATCCCCCTGTTCTTTCCTAAGAGCAGACATTTGAGCAGAACAATTAGTAATAGCGGACATAAGCTGCTCAAATTGAGATGAAGAAACTGAAGTAGCACTCTCTGTAGTGTCCATTTGCTGCTCATGAAACCCTAATACTTCCCTTAAGTTGACCCTTTCCAGTTCTTCAGTACATGAGACTAATTCATTTTTATCATTACAAACAAATTTGTCACATTTACGACAATAAGCTGCAGTTTTTATTACATCTTTTTTACATACACAACTGTGGCATTTTTTAAATAATTTAAAGACATTAGGCAACCAAAAACACCAGTGCAAATATTAACGTACTTCTAAACATAGGCAATCCAAAATACAGCACTATATTATAGATAAGGTAGATTTAAAAATAAAATGTTCCACTGATAAGCCAAGATCCACTAATTGCTGTAGATTGTGGATTGTTTTAGTAGATGAGTGCGAAGCCTGTTAATAATTATTTTACTTTATAGTTTCAGATAATTATTTTCTTTTCTCTGTATTTGTTTTTCAATTTTTCTATATGTTTCTTCTCGACTCTGTCAGTAATTTACACTTTATACCAAGAATGAAATTCTTTTTCAAAATATACAGTTAGAAAAAATAAACTACTGAAATTTATCATCACTTTATTGATCATTGAACATTTCACCATTTGTTTAACAATGGTAAATATTTATGCAAGAAAAAAAAACCGAGAAAATTTTTTTTACCCCTTTCAAGAATATTTTTAATAAATTCACTTCCATTGTAGTGAGAACAAAAAAATTGGTGTTACTATAAAATATTTTTAAAAATTATTTTAGAATTCTAAACTTTATAGTTTCTTTATTTTTGACTTCCCACACTAATGAAACAATGTTACTAAAATTAATTGTCTGTCTTGAATTAGCAATGGTGAGCGACGTGATCAGCAGTGAACAAATGAAAATAACAGACGACAAAAAATGGATGCAGAGTTTAACTGAAAGTGTTCAAAAAGATCAAATTCACCAGGTAATAATTTTCATAAATGAAACAAAAGTGACAAAGAATCAAATAGTTGAGAATCTAATAAAAACGCTTTCGAAAAATACCCCAGTCATAGAGATTATCACACCAAACTATGAAATACCGACAGAATTCGATTTTATTAGATACAATCCTAGAGTTTCGTTATTTATTCTCTCGAATTCGGAAAGTGATCTCCAACTCGTTCGAACCATCGATTTCTTAACGAAACTATCAGAAGCGAAACGTCGACCAAAATGTCTCCTGGTTCTATTCCACAAACTTGTAAATTACCAAAAATTTTTCGAAGAACTCTGGCATCGTCAATTCCTCGACATTACACTAATTAATTTCGGACAAAAAATAACAAAAAACACTCTTCATCTTTACAAAATATATTACCCTAATTCTAGGATTCTTCAGTACAACCCCTTTATAAAATTGATCACCAACGAAACTATTTCTTCCAAAATTGTTTGGTTTCCGGACAAACTAAGAAATATGCACGGTTATCAACTAAAAGCAATTTTACTTCACGCCCCTCCGGATGTATTCGAACCAGAGAATAAATCAGAAGAAATTTACGGCTTAGGCACGATGAAAATAAAAACGTGGGAAAAAGTGCTAAACTTCAAAATGGTAAGATCGTCACTTCGAGATTGGGGAAAATTCGGATGTTCAGTTGAAGACAGTACTGGTGTTTGTCTCACAATGTATACAAACGAAGCACAAATATTAGGCGCCGAGGCTCCTGTAGCATTATGCGACGGAAAACCAACCGAACTCGGCAAAAGTGTCCAAGCGAGTAAAATCGGAATGCTCGTACCACTCGTAAAGAAAGATATCGAAATCGACATACTCCAATGGCAAATAAAGAACATATTCATTGTCATGATTTTACCCCTCTTCTTTTGGATAATTTCAAAACTCTTAAATTTTAGTTCCAGCAAATGGAGAATGGAGTACATGTTCCGCATAACATTGGGAAATTACATTCCAGAAGAGCCGGAAAACGAAGTGGAGAGAATAATCTTTTGCGCATTTCTCATCGGATGTTTCATGTTCTCTTCGGAAATCTACACGGCGATAAATCAGGTCCAATTGAAAGCAACATCAGCCTTTAAATTCGAAACTCTAGAGGATGTCATCGACTCGAATGCACAGATATTCATTGACGAGAACTATTTTTTCATGCTGAATACAACTGATGATGTTGTTCTACAACAAATTTTGAAGAAAACTACTTATATGACGTTCTCGCAAGACGACTGCGTGGAGCGTTTATTGGAGTATAAGAATTTAACTTGTATTCTAGAAATACCAAGAGCCGAGTGGCAACTTCGGAGTAGAAGAGACGAATGTGGACGACCGCTTGTCAAATTTCTATTGGATAAATTCTCCTTCGATGCAGGAGCTACGCAACTTGGTGCTGGTGTTCCTTACGCTGAACGCTTCGATCAAGTGATTCAGAGAGTGATTGATTCTGGTATTAGAAACAAGTGGTTGGAACCTTACACTGCAGTGAAGGTTTCATTGGCTCAAGTCGAGAAATCTTGTCATGATGATGAAATGGAATCTGTCATGACGATGCGACAAATACTAGTTGTACTTGCCAGTGGCTTTGGCTCGTCGATTGTAGCTTTCATTTTCGAATTTATCGTACATCGTGCCTCCGAATATAAAGGAAAGGTATTCAGAAGATACTACGAATAAATTCGAATCTGATTTAAAATTTTGCAATTACAGGCTTCACACTCAATAATTAATTTTTTAAAATTATCGAAAAGTAGCTTTAATATACTGAAGAAAGTAGTAAAAAAGTAGCTATTAAAAATAAATTTTAACGAATAAAAAGAAAATTGTTTTCGTCGATTCACAAAAATTAGATTCAGTATTTCCCTGACTGTTTCCTGATTTCAATAAAAAAATAATTATTTTTATTCTAATCCTGATGAGAATTCTAATTCTAAATTTTTAAAGAATTCAATTATTTTCCAAAGTTTTATCCTAAAAAATATTGTATTTAAAAGTAATTTTTAAAAGTAAACAAATAAAATTATTTAATAAAATTTAATTTAAATTGTTCACAGGAATTAAGAAAATAAATTAATAATTTTTCAAAGTAAAAAATTTAAATGTTATTACAGTTTTACAACAATTAAAATTTTCAACGATTTCAATTTAATAATCTTTTAAAATTTAGTTATTTCTAAAAAAATTGTACTATAACGCTTTTAATATTCAATTATTATCTAAAATTTCAACTGAAATTAGTTTTTTAATAAATTCTTATTAGAAAGTTCAACTGAAATTCAACTATTTAAATACAAAAATAAATAATATATTGAATAAGGTAAACGTCCCTATTATGGAACACTTCAAAACTTCGTTCCTATTATGGAACAGTATTACAAAAATTAAAATAAATGTAATTAAAAGTGGTGATAAGAAATTTCTTCTTATTTCAGAAAATTGAATACTTTATAAGAATGATTATTTCTGCATAGTATTTAGTTTAATAAGAAATGATTAATTAAATTTTAACTTTGAATTTAAGGTAAGCCAGAATTTTCGTCAGACGACTGTTCCATATTAGGCACACTTGTTATTTGCATGTCCCTATTTATGGAACACACAAGAAATATACAGCAAACATAACCTCAAATCTTTTCAGTATTTTCGCATTAATTTTCTACCTGAAAAATTGGTTTTATAATTATCTATTGAACTAGAATTTGTTAATTGTATTTTATTCTGTATAATTAATATTCAAATTATTGAGATAAGTCAATAGAATTCTAAATACTTATTAAATTAAATAAGTGTTCCATAAATAGGGGCATTCAATATGGAACACCCGTACATACAGGAAATCATCGTTTCATAATGAGTGCAGTGTAGAGTTTCAAAATTTAATTAATATTATTTTTATTTCATGGAAAATAACCATTTTAGGGAATAAATATTGTTTATAATATATCAATCTATCAATCTATACCCAAATTCATCAAATTAACACTCCTGATTTCAATAATTTTATCATAGAAGTTTAGTTAGCTGAAAAAGTGTTCCATAATAGGTACATTTACCTTAATTGAATGTTTCTCAAAATTTAATTCTTATAAAGAATTTATCAATTTTTTAAAAAATAATTCAATTTCTCAGAAGAATTTTATTTAATTCTTTTTAAATAACACAGCCACAAAAAAAAAAGTTCTGATCTGGGGGTCTCACTATGTAGACTTTATGTTTTTTGGGTCGCTGAATCCAAATCCGAGGTCCATTTAACCCCATCAGATCAGGATTTTGACATAACCTCAAAAAACCAATATGGCGGACACATTTTTGAAAAGCTCATCGGATTCGCTTGAAATTCGTTACTCGGGGGTTTTTGGGGTCGCTGATTACGAATTTGAAGTCTGATTTCAAAAATTCAAAATGGCGGATCCAATATGGCGGACACGTTTTTGAAAAATTCATCGGATTCGCTTGAAATTCGTTACTATGGGGTTTTTGGGGTCGCTGATTACGAATTTGAAGTCAGATTTCAAAAATTCAAAATGGCGGATCCAATATGGCTGACACATACATATTGGATCCGCCATTTTGAATTTTGAAAAACCGACATCAGATTCGTAATCAGCGACCCCAAAAACCCCAGAGTAACGAATTTCAAGCGAATCCGATGAATTTTTCAAAAACGTGCCCGCCATGTTGGATCCGCCATTTTGAATTTTTGAAATCAGACTTCAAATTCGTAATCAGCGACCCCAAAAACCCCCGAGTAACGAATTTCAAGCGAATCCGATGAACTTTTCAAAAATGTGTCCGCCATATTGGTTTTTTGAGGTTATGTCAAAATCCTGATCTGTTGGGGTTAAATGGACCTCGGATTAAGATTCAGCGACCCAAAAAACATAAAGTCTACATAGTGAGACCCCCAGATCAGAACTTTTTTTTTTTTTTTGTGGCTGTGTAATTGAATTCTTGTGGAAAATTTTATTATTTGGGGAAAATAATTACCTAAATAATATAATTGTAAAGAATTAAAGAAAGAATTCAAGAATTTATCAATTTTTTAAAAAATAATTGAATTTCTGAGAAGAATTTTATTATTAATGAAAGTAATTGAATTCTTGCGAAGAATTATGTTTAATTATTTTTAAATAATTGAATTATTTGGGAAAACAATTGAATTCTTGTGAAGAATTTTATAAAAATTTGTAAAAGTAGGTAATTGAATTCTTGAGAAGCATTTTATTATTTATGCGATAATAATTGTATTCTTGCCTTGAATTTTATTTAAATTTTTATAAATAATTGGATTTTCGTAACAAATGTTATTGCTTGTAAAAATAATTGAATTCTAGCGGTAGAATTTTATAAAGAGTTTTTAAATTGATTTTTTTCGAAAAATTTTATGAAATATTTTAAAGAATTCAATTCCTATGAAAATAAAACCTATTGAATGTTTGCGAAGAATTTTAACCAAAATCTTTTGTGGTATTTTATTAAAACTGTATAGATATTGAAAATCATTGATTTCGAAAAGTTTTTGAAAATTATTGAGTCGTTTTAAAGAATTTTATTTCAATTTTTAGAATTTTTTTTATTTCAACTATTAGCAAATTTAAAGTGATGCAAATTTCCCCCAAAAATAAAGAAAAAAGTAGCTTTTAGTGTCACAAATCTAAAAAAAAGTATCCAAATAGTAGCAAATTGTAAAAAACAAGTAAACTCTACAAGATGTTATCGACTCGAATGTACAGATAATGATTAATAAGAACTATATTAGCATTCTAAACACTTCTGATGATGTTAGTTTGCAAAAAATTTTGAATAATGCTGTCGTGATGTCTTTCGAACAAGAAGAGTGCGTGGAGCTTTTGTTGAAATACAAAAATGTGACTTGTATTCTAGTAGTTTCGAGAGCAGAATTACAACTTCGGAATAGAAGAGACGAATGTGGACAACCGCTTTCAAAATTTATTCTTGATGAATTTCCCTATGATTCAGGAGCTACACAACTTGGTGCCGGTGTTCCCTATGCAAAACGTTTCGATCAAGTGCTTCAGAGAGTTATCGATTCTGGTATCAAGGTAAAATGGCTGGAACCACATTCTGCAACAAATGTTCGATTATCTAAAATTGACAAATCTTGTACTAGTAATGAAATGGAACCTGTCATGACCATGCATCAAATAATAATTTTTCTCATCACTGGCTTTGTCTGTTCGATTGTCACTTTCATTTTGGAGTTTATTACCCATCGTGTCTCTCAAAATAATCGAAATTTATTTCAAAATTGTCTCTAACCGCATTCAATAAAGAAATTACAGTGGAACTTCGATTTTCCGTCAGGCACGGGACCAACACCTTGAAGGAAAACTAAAACTTCAACATGTAAACAAACAATTTTACAAAACAATAACACAATTAGTTTAAAATTTGTTTAAAAAAAACGTAACATCTTATTTTTTTATTTAAAAAAGCCGAAAACAGACTGAAGAAAATATCTAAACTGCAGGAAATTAGAGGTTATGGCTGCTTAGGTATTTCTCTTCAGAGAAATATATTGGAATAAACTTGCAAAGTCAATTTTTTAAATAAAAAAAAAAATTATCTTGGACAGTGACGGATAACCGTGGTGACGATAGACCGAGAGACAGAAAATCGAAGTTCCACTGTATGTAAATTCGTAATAGATTTTTAGTCTAAAATTTTTATAATATGTCCTATATCCACTATTATCGAAATTTGTCTTTGAATTTTGAAATTAAACAAAAATTTTGTCTAAGATCTCGTCTTTTTCTAGAACAGAAAAATTAATGATCCAATAAAATTCTTTTGTATTTTGACTAAAGATGTCTTTGACTTTTCCCTGATTTCCAGACAAAATTTTTTCTTTTTCCGTGACCCTAAAAAATATTCTGATTCAGTCTAAAAATTATTAGATATTCAAAAAAAATGTTTTATTACATTTATTTACGAATTTCTCTAATTGTAAAATTATTCGAAAACAACAATAACTTCTTTTTTAAATAAATAATTAATCATTATTATTTTTCCATAGGAAATAAGATTTTCAAAAATTTCAAATTTAAACCTTTTAAAGTTGGAGTGATCGATTTCTTCGTATTTTAAAATAATTAAACATGACCGAGTGATAAAATCATTATTTTATATTATAAAAGAATATTGTTACTGTAACTGTATTGAAATTCCAAACCTTCTATTCTTACTAATTCAATGGACAAGTTTTGGGGCCTTTAATTTTTCTCAATTCGTCAGCACGAATTCAATGCATGCCTTGGTCATTTCTTACGAATGCGAATTCGTTTGCACAACTTCAGGCAAATTGAATCGAATTCAATCGATTATACAAAGAGCTTGAATGAATCCCGCTTTATACCAAAAATCTTAATTCATTTCAATCCGTTTGAATTAGTTTTTTTTTACTGGGAAATTTTTAAATTATTAAATTCTTTCGACAAATTTTAATAAAATTTTTAAGAATAATTATATATTCTTCAAGGAATTCTATTAAAATTTAAATTCTGCGATGAGTTTTATTATTTATGAAAATAATTGAATTCCTAAAAAGAATTTTATTATTTACGAAAATAATTGAAGCTCTGTAGAAAATTGTATAGTTTATGAAAATACTGGAATTATTACGAAGAAATTTATAACAAATTTGTAAATAATTGAATTCTTGT